ACAGCCATTTGTCCGAAATGGTATAGGGTTTCCTGCCTGAGCAGGGGGTTGGACTAGATGACCTCCAAGGTCCCTTCCAACTTTATCATTATTATTATTATTATTATTTACAATTCCAGGAGGGATGTTAGAAAAAAAAACACCTCTCACAAAGAGCTGTTGAACAGTGCAAACAAAGCCCCAGAGAGCTGCTGGTCTCCCTTCACTGGTTGCATTCAAACTGTGGCTGGACAACTATCGGCGTTCCTAACTTCTAAGCAGAGCAAGGGGGTTGGTCTTGATGCTCTCAGGGGTTCCTTTCTTGTTTGAAGTTCTTCCATTTCTACTTGCTTAAGAAATTTGTAAGGCTGGCTAGCTCTCCAATGACTCTGGGCAAAAGGCCATAAATACAACTGTATAAATAACATTTTTTACAAAAGCACCACCCGCCCGTCGGCATAAAAACTATCATTAAAATGGACGATAAAGCACATAGGAGGATGCGGTAAATACTCTAAACCAGGGCCTGAGGTTCAGAGCTTTTTTTCGAACATGGCTTGTGTGCGTGTGTGAGTGGGGGGGGGAGACCTCCATAGGGAGGTCAAAAAAGTCAAAATGGCAGCCATAACCAGCGTTCCAAGAGGCAAATGCTGTAAACAGACAAGGTTATTTCTGAGGTTCCCATCCCTGCAGCTTAATAGATGGGATCCGGATCAGGTCTATTCTGTCTGGTCGTACAGGCCAAGCATCAAACGGGGTGGGACTGGATGACCTCTGGAGTGCCTGCCATCTTTCTACAATTGCAAAAACACACCCATGCGAATAAGCGAGGCTCCTCCTTTCCAACCACTCAAGTTTCTACAGCTTTTTGTTCTTTTCCTTCTGCAGGTTGCCTCCTCCGTCCGTTTCAGCCGCCCAATTTTATTTCCGACAAGATCCTGGAGGACTTCAAAGGGATCCTTCAAACGAGGACATCATCGCTGGAAGCAAAAACTTCTCTTTGTAGCAGGCCAGGCTTCTCACCCCACTTTTTGAGAGAACGTTAATAAAACCCCCAAGATAAAAAATAAAAAATAAATCTCGAGGGTATCTCCTTTCTTTCCTGCATTCCTTGGAAATGCCAAATACACGGAGAAGGAAGCCATCGGCTGGATCCAAGAGCCGGATCTGCAAGCTGTGAGAGAATCCAACTTGGTGAACCTCAGATCCAAATTGAAGGATCCAGGTGGACCTCCAAATGGAGGGATAAGGGGGAAGCAGAATTTAAAACGGTATCAGACTGGTGGCTTTCCAACTTGGCCACTTGAAGATGGGTGGACTTCAACTCCCAGCATTCTGGCAGGGGAATTCTGGGAGTTGAGGTTCTCCTCTCTTAAAAGGAAGCTGGCTGGGGAATTCTGGGAGTTGAAGTCCACCCGTCTTAAAGCATACAGGCTGGGGGATTCTGGGAGTTGAAGTCCACCCATCTTAAAGCATGCAGGCTGGGGAATTCTGGGAATTGAAGTCCACCCATCTTAAAGCATGCAGGCTGGGGAATTCTGGGAATTGAAGTCCACCCGTCTTAGAGCATGCAGGCTGGGGGATTCTGGGAGTTGAAGTCCACCTGTCTTAAAGCATACAGGCTNTGGAATTGGGGATGTCTAGTTTTATGAAGAGAAGGACGAGGGGGGACAAGATAGCAGTGTTCCAATATCTCAGGGGCTGCCCCAAAGAAGAGGGAGTCAAGCTATTGTCCAAAGCGCCTGAAGGCAGGACAAGAAGCGATGGATGGAAACTCAACAAGGAGAGAAGCAACCTGGAACTAAGGAGAAACTTCCTGACAGTTAGAACAATTAACCAGTGGAACAACCTGCCTCCAGAAGCTGTCAATGCTCCAACACTGGAAGTTTTTAAGAAGAGACTGGACAGCCATTTGTCCGAAATGGTATAGGGTTTCCTGCCTGAGCAGGGGGTTGGACTAGATGACCTCCAAGGTCCCTTCCAACTTTATCATTATTATTATTATTATTATTTACAATTCCAGGAGGGATGTTAGAAAAAAAAACACCTCTCACAAAGAGCTGTTGAACAGTGCAAACAAAGCCCCAGAGAGCTGCTGGTCTCCCTTCACTGGTTGCATTCAATCTGTGGCTGGATAACTATCGGCGTTCCTAACTTCTAAGCAGAGCAAGGGGGTTGGTCTTGATGCTCTCAGGGGTTCCTTTCTTGTTTGAAGTTCTTCCATTTCTACTTGCTTAAGAAATTTGTAAGGCTGGCTAGCTCTCCAATGACTCTGGGCAAAAGGCCATAAATACAACTGTATAAATAACATTTTTTACAAAAGCACCACCCGACCGTCGGCATAAAAACTATCATTAAAATGGACGATAAAGCACATAGGATGCGGTAAATACTCTAAATCAGGGCCCGAGGTTCAGAACTTTTTTCGAACACGGCTTGTGTGCGCGCACGTGTGTGTGGGGGGGAGACCTCCATAGGGAGGTCAAAAAAGTCAAAATGACAGCCATAACCAGCGTTCCAAGAGGCAAATGCTGTAAACAGACACGGTTATTTCTTAGGTTCCCATCCCTGCAGCTTAATAGATGGGATCCGGATCAGGTCTATTCTGTCTGGTCATACAGGCCAAGCATCAAACGGGGTGGGACTGGATGACCTCTGGAGTGCCTGCCATCTTTCTACAATTGCCAAAACACACCCATTCAAATAAGCGAGGCTTCTCGCCAGCCACGCAAGTTTCTACGGCTTTGTTCTTTTCTTTCTGCAGGTTGCCTCCTCCGTCCGTTTCACCCGCCCAATTTTATTTCCGACCCTGGAGAACCTCAAAGGGATCCTTCAAACGAGGACATCATCGCTGGAAGCAAAAACTTCTCTTTGTAGCAGGCCAGGCTTCTCACCCCACTTTTTGAGAGAACGTTAATAAAACCTCCCAAGATATAAAAAAAAATCTCGAAGGCATCTCCGTTCTTTCCTGCATTCCTTGGAAATGCCAAATACACGGAGAAGGAAGCCATCGGCTGGATCCAAGAGCCGAATCTGCAAGCTGTGAGAGAACCCAACTTGGTGAACCTCAGATCCAAGTTGAAGGATCCAGGTGGACCTCCAAATGGAGGGATAAGGGGGAAGCAGAATTTAAAACGGTATCAGTCTGGTGGCTTTCCAACTTGGCCACTTGAAGATGGGTGGACTTCAACTCCCAGCATTCTGGCAGGGGAATTCTGGGAGTTGGAAGTTCTCCTCTCTTAAAAGGAAGCTGGATGGGGAATTCTAGGAGTTGAAGTCCACCCATTTTAAAGCATGCAGGCTGGGGGATTCTGGGAGTTGAAGTCCACTCATCTTAAAGCATAGAGGCTGGGGGATTCTGGGAATTGAAGTCCACCCATTTTAAAGCATGCAGGCTGGGGAATTCTGGGAGTTGAAGTCCACCCATCTTAAAGCATAGAGGCTGGGGGATTCTGGGAGTTGAAGTCCACCCATTTTAAAGCATGCAGGCTGGGGAATTCTGGGAGTTGAAGTCCACCCATCTTAAAATAGCCAAGGTTAAGAAACAGTCCCCCAAAATCAATCTTGCCCTCTGCTTTTTCTCATTCCTTTTCAAACTATAATTTTTTAATCTTTTTCTCTGGGTACTGTGCCCGCCTAACACCTACACTTGTCCAACATGCTAATGCAAGATTGTGCGTGGGCCAAACTGAATACAGATGGTCCTCAACTTACCATTCAAAGTTACAACAGCACTGAAAAGAGTGTCTTAAGATCGTTTTTCACACACCGCAGCATCCCCACAGTCCTGTGCTCAAAATCCAGACGCTCGGCAACTGACTCATATTTATGACGGTTGCACCGTCCCGGCGGTCACGTGATTCCCTTTTGCGACCTTCTGACAAGCAAAGTCAATGGGATCCACTTAACAGCCGCGTGACTAATTTTAAAACTGCAGTGATTCACTTAACAACTGTGGCAAGGAAGGTCGCAAAATGGGGCACCACTCACTGAACAACTATCTTGTGTCGCAATGGAAGTCTTCAGCTCAATTGTAGTCGTAAGTTGAGGATGACCTGCATTCACCCATCCTTATAATAATAATAATAATGTTGGAAGAGACCTTAGAGGTCATCGAGTCCAACCCTCTGCTCAGGCAGGAAACCCTATAGCATTTCGGACAAATGGCTGCCCAGTCTCTTCTTAAAAACTTCCAGTGTTGGAGCATTCACCGCTTCTGGAGGCAGGTTGTTCCACTGGTTAATTGTTCTAACTGTCAGGAAGTTTCTCCTTAGATTAGTTTCCCCTTGATTAGTTTCCATCCGTTGCTTCTTGTCCTGCCTTCAGGCGCTTTGGAGAATAGCTTGACTCCCTCTTCTTTGGGGCAGCCCCTGAGATACTGGAACACTGCTATCATGTCCCCCCTCGTCCTTCTCTTCATTGAACTAGACATACCCAATTCCAGCAACCGTTCCTTATATGTTTTAGCCTCCAGTCCCCTAATCATCTTTGTTGCTCTTCTCTGTACTCTTTCTAGAGTCTCAACATCTTTTTTACATCGTGGTGACCAAAACTGGATGCCGTATTCCAAGTGTGGCCTTACCAAGGCCTTGTAAAGTGGTATTAATACTTCACATGATCTTGATTCTCTCCCTCTGTTAATGCAGCCTAGCACTGTGTTGGCCTTTTTGGCAGCTGCAGCACACTGCTGGCTCATATTTAAGTGATTGTCCACTAGGACTCCGAGATCCCTCTCACAGTTACTACTATTGAGCAAGGTACCCCCTATACTATACCTGTACATTTGGCTTTTCTTGCTTAAATGTAGAACCTTGCTTTTTTCACCATTGAATTCACGGGAAAACGTTCAAGTTCATCGTTTATCAGCCGCCCCAATCACTCTCCCACCAGCTCAATACAGTAAGATTTATTATTGGTGGAAAATGGAATGTTTCCTGCGAAACAACTGAGTGGTGTCCCGGTAAGAACATATCCAGAGCAGGGAGGGAGCGGGAGGGAGAGAACACACACACACACACACACAGACACAAAACACAATTGAGTTCACATCATCTGCAAGCTACTGTGGTGGGCGTCTGTTTCAGCAAACAACAGTTCCAAGGCCATAACCAGGGGAGCAAAAATTCCACAGAGTCTGCTTGCCACGGAGTCGTGTGGGAAAAGGAAAATCTTCAATAACGGTGAGCGAAACGCGGGTCAGTCGGCCGGCTTGTTCTATCCTGGCTTGCAAAACCGCCTGGCATGTTGGGGACTTGCGCGACCGAGTGCTGCGATCCGCCTTGTGCAAATTCTCCACGCCTGTGGGCAAAAAAACAAAAACAAAAAAACGCAATTGCTTTAGTTCTGAAGTATCTTAGACGAGGAGAAGGCTGCCTGGGGTCGCCCGGAGCTTTAGGATGGATTGACAGTTTGGTCTAGCAGCGAAGGGACCAGGCTGGAAACCGGGAGATGGCGAGTTCTAGTCCTGACCTAGTTATATGAAAGCTGGCTGGGTGACTCCGAGCCAAAGACCAGGCGACGGAGAGTTCTACTCCTCCTGTCTTAGGTATGGAAAAACAGCTGGGTGGCTTTGGGCCAATCGCCAGGAGATGGGAAGTTCTAGTTCTGCCTTTGGACATGGAAGGTGCTGGGTGACTCTTAAGTCAATCATCGGGAGACGAGGCGTTCTAGTCCTGCCTTAGCCATGGAAGCCAGCAGGGTGACTTTGGGCCAATCAACAGGAGACGGTGAGTTCTAGTTCTGCCTTAGTCAAAAAAGTTGATTGGGTGACTTTGGGTCAGTCACCAGGAGACGGTGAGTTCTAGTCCCACCTTAGGTAAGAAAACTGGCTAGGTGCCTTTGGGTCAGTCCCTCTCAACCCAACCCATCTCCCATAGTTGTCGTGGGAAAATGGTAGGAAAGAGGAAAATGCCTTCACTCTCTTGAGTAGTAGTAGTAGTAGTAATAATAATAATAATAATAATAATAATATAATAATTATAATAATAATAATAATAATAATAAGGAGGAGGAGGAGGAGGAGAACTACTACTACTACTACTACTACTACTACTACTACTACTACTACTACTACTACTACTACTACTGTGGGGTCCTTGGTGCTCTCTTGGCTTGGTTGTTTTCTTGCATATGTTTCATTACCCAACTAGCTAACATCATCAGTGCTAAAAGGGAGAGGAGGAGTAGGATGGGAAGAACAAGAAGGAGGAGGAGGAGGATTTCCTAGATTTTTTCTTGGCTCTGCCAATGTATGTATGTTGATCCATAATATAAAAAGACAGTAATGATAATAATTTAAATAATTTTATCTTTTTATCTATCTATCTATCTATCTATCTATCTATCTATCTATCTATCCATCCATCCATCCATCCATCCATATCCATCCATTCATCTATCCATCAATCCACTATCATCTGTCTGTCTCTCTTATCTATCAATCTATCTGTCTGTCTGTCTATGCATATTCATTCATCTATCCATCATCAATCTACTATCATCTGTCTCTCTCATCTATCAATCTATCCATCCATCCATATTCATTCATCTATCCATGAATCAATCCACTATCATCTCTGTCTGTCTCTGATCTATCTATCTATCTATCTATCTATCTATCTATCTATCTATCTATCTATCTATCTATCTATCTATCTATCTATCTATCTATCTATCTATCTATCTATCTAATCTCTGCCCATCTCAATTAATGACTCACGGGCGACTTAAAATTCAAGAAAATATACTACAATTAAAAGAATAAAAACATCTTTGAAAAGATTGAAAAGACGGCTATTTTTTTTTCCTCCCGTGCCTCCAGGGAAGGGAGACACTGGGGAGATCACGGCCAGAAGCTGGAGAGGCATCAAGATCGCTCCTGGATGGGGAGTGCAGACAGAGAGATGGGCCATGATCAATAGCAAGGTAAGAGCTCAGCTTTCTTCTTAGACCGAGTTGGGTAATGTTTGGTTCTATGGGGCCCCCTTCCTCTGCTGGGATGAAAGCCTGTGGCGTATTCTGGATAAAGCAGCTCCTGTACTGATAGGAGAGAATATCTATAGCTGTGGAATCCTTGGTGGTCTCTGAGTTGGGTTGTTTTCTTGCAGACGTTTCGTTGCCCAATTAGGTAACATCATCAGTGCTAGTAAGGGAGTGGGGTTATTGTTACAGGGTTAAGAACAGCCTAATCCAGTGATGGCGAACCTTTTAGAGACCGAGTGCCCAAACTGCAACCCAAAACCCACTTATGTATGGTTGGGTGCTGGGTGGGCGTGACCCATTGGGTGGGCGTGGCCCATTGGGTGGGCGTCGCTGCAATGGTAACGGCAGACTGGGTGGGACTAAAAAGTTCAATCAATCAATTCCAACTTTGCGACATCTTTATTTTCCCACGAGAAGTTGAAATTGATTGATTGACTGAATCTTTTTTTTTTGCACACGGTGGCGGAGGCCTAAAGCGAAAAGGTTTTATAAAACCCAGCTGAAGGCCTAGGACTGGGGCGACGGCGCGCGTGCCCATAGAGAGGGCTCTGAGTGCCGCCTCTGGCACCCGTGCCATAGGTTCACCACCACGGGCCTAATCAAAGAACCACCAAGAATACTCCCGCCAACACTGACAGGGCAAGCCGCTTGTAGGTAAACTGAGGGCAAACCCCACTCCCTTCTGGCACTGATGATGTTACCTAGTTGGGTCATGAAACGTCTGCAAGGAAACAATGAAGCTCAGAGAGCACCGAGGACTCCATAGTCGTCTTTCTCTTCCTCCTCCTCCTCTTCCTCCTAATGAACAGAGGAGAAATACCAGGGTGAGCATCAATAAAAGATTCCTTTCTTTCTATTCCTGCCTCCGCGCTTCATCTCCCATCCTTTCCCCAAGAAGCCATCTTGAAGAAAGCTCGTTTCTGCGTGCAGCCAGAAAAAGGGTGGGTTTTCCCCCCCATTTTATGACCTTTCCTGCCGTAGCCGTTAAGTGAATCACTGCACTTACTAAGTTAGTAACACGGTTGTTAAGTGAATCTGGCTCCCCCCGTTGACTTGGCTGGTCAGAAGGTTGCAAAAGAGGAATCATGTGACCCCGGGACGTAGCAACCGTCGTAAATATGAGTCGGTAGCCGAGCATCTGAATTCTGATCACGTGACCCTGGGGGATGCTGCAACGGTGTGAAAAATGGCAATAGCTCCCTTTTTTCCCCAGTGCTGTTGTAACTTTGAACGGTCGCTAAATGAACTGTTGTAAATCGAGGACCATCTGTAAACGATTTGAAATGTTATTTTTGCTAATGTACACCTTTCTGGGCAAATTTTCCCCTAACACAGAAGGGGGGGGAGGTTCTCCAACCTTGGCGACTTTACAACTTGTGGACTTCAACTCCCAGAATTTCTCAGACAGCTCTGGTCTGCCGGCTGAGGCATTCTGGGAGATGAAGTCCACAAGTCCACAGCCAAGATGTAGCCCCCCCTCCCCCAATGTATTTCGTGCCAAGGTACGGTCTCTTTTATGGGGGGGGGGTGCTGTAGGTAGTCCTCGAGTTACTGCTCCCTTGGTGACTTTTGGAAGCTGCAACGGCACTGAAAAAAAGTGACTTACGACCATTTTCACACTTAACGACAGTTGCAGCATCCCCATGGTCGCAGGATCAGAATTTGGATGCTTGGCAACTGGTTCATATTTATGACGGTTGCAGGGCCACGGGGGGTGGGGAGAGTCTCGCGATCCCCTTTTGCGACCTTCTGACAAGCCTAAACCAATGGGAGAAGCCAGATTCACTTAACAACCGTGTTACTAACTTAATGATCAGGGGACTGGAGGCTAAAACATATAAGGAACGGTTGCTGGAATTGGGGATGTCCAGTTTAATGAAGAGAAGGACGAGGGGGGACATGATAGCAGTCTTCCAATATCTCAGGGGCTGCCCCAAAGAAGAGGGAGTCCAGCTGTTCTCCAAAGCGCCTGAAGGCAGGACAAGAAGCAACAGGTGGAAACTAATCAAGGAGAGAAGCAACCTAGAACTAAGGAGAAATTTCCTGACAGTTAGAACAATTAACCAGTGGAACAACCTGCCTCCAGAAGCGGTGAATGCCCCAACACTGGAAGTTTTTAAGAAGAGACTAGACAGCCATTTGTCTGAAATGGTATAGGGTTTCCTGCCTGAGCAGGGGGTTGGACTAGAAGACCTCCAAGGTCCCTTCTAACAACAACAACATCATCATCATCATCATTATTATTATACAACCGCAGTGATTCCCTTAACAACTGCGGCAAGAAAGGTCATGAAAAGGGGGATTGAAACTCACTTAACGACTGTCTGCCTCAGCAGTGGGAATTTTGGGCTCAAATTGTGGTCATTAAGTGGAGGATTACCTGTATATGTATGTACGTGCCCCTCTTTCTTTCTTTCTCCAGGAAAACATGGCTGAAAGGCGCCTCTTCCTCTTTAAATAAACTCACCGGGATGGGGGAGGTAAACCTCGACCTCGGCTCAGCCTCCGCTCTGACCCGTAACCCGCCCAGCCGTCCCGCGAATGGCGACTCTCGTCGGGATGATGCTGAAAAGAGATTGGCCAAATATCAGGTTACGAAGCTCCTCGACACAAAATGGTCCACCTCTACAGTAGCGGCCCAAATTGTGGAAACCTTGTGGGAAAAGTGTACATTTGAGGTTTGATGGCTAATAACACCACTTTTGGGGGGGGGGAGTAGCACCACAAAATTATATATCAATGGAAAGATAATTTAATCAAGAATGTAATGCAACAAAGTTTGTTCAATTATCTGTACTGTATCCTGTGAAAAGTTATAGCCAAATAACCAGAAAAAGGAAGCACAACTTGCTTAGGTTGATATCAGGGAGCTTTCCTTCATCTGATTGTAGCCAATGAGCATGAGTGTTTAGAGAGCCAATCAGGTGTCATCTTGTTCTGGCAATGAGCCAATCAGATCACAATAGGATCCAGTGATTGATGTCATGTATTGAAGCTGAGAGGAGGACATTTGTCAGTGTGTTATGTGATCACTATCAAGTTGGTTGGGGTTTTTTTTTGTGTTCTTTCGTTGAGTGAGCTTGTAAAACGTAATAAAATTAAAGCAATGGTGCAAAGAGTTGACCGGTCGCCCAGAAAGTGATGTAAAATAGTATTAGTAAGTGAACAAGGCTACAGTTATAAAGAAATTAGAAGAAAAATGGGTGGAAACTTAACCAAAGGGGGCATTTCTACTGTACAGTTCTCCCAAAAGGTTTCCACAATTTTGGCCAGTAGTGTAAAAGGACCACCCTATTAAGGTTTAAGGGGGCAGCTTTGAGGCCTGGTGGTGCAGCGGTTACGAATGCAGCACTGCAGGCCGACTTCCTACTCCCTGCCAGCCGTTCCCTCATGATGGGGCTTGAGGTTGACTCAGCCTTCCATCCTTCCGAAGGTCCATAAAATGAGGACCTAGATTGCTGGGGGGAGGGCGCAGGCGGGGGGCAACAGGCTGACTCTGTAAACTGCTTGGAGAGGGCTATAAAGCACTGTCTAAGTCAGTGGTGGCGAACCTATGGCACGCGTGCCAGAGGCGGCACTCAGAGCCCTCTCTGTGGGCACACGCACCATGCCCTGGAGAGATGGCAACCGTCCCTCTTCAACTAGCCACCTGCTAACTTGCCGAGGTCCCACATGGCCGGATGTATCCGCATGCGCTCACTGGCCTCTGTGTGCAGGGGCCGATGGTGTCAGGCAGCAGCCGCCCCGGCCCCTGCCTCACCTTGCCCTGTGACAATGGCACCCCTGCCCTGCCTCACCTCACCCCACAGGACGAGCCTCCTGCCCACCGACCCACCAACCAGAGACCCCCTGGATCTCCCCCAACCCTGCCCGGCCCCCACAGGCGTCCCTCCCCATGAGCAACATCGAGTTGATCACGCCCACCTTGGCCACACCCACCCAATCTGCCATGACCACCACAGCCACGTCCACCCAGTGGGCCACGCCCACCTGGCACCTGGCGATAAATAAGAGGGTTTTGGGTTGTAGTTTGGGCACTCGGTCTCTAAAAGGTTCGCCATCACTGGTCTAAGTGCTATTGCTAATAAATGCCTGAAAATGTGGCAATCGTCTTACTTGAGGCCCAGTATCTTAGTTTCAACTGCAGCCAGCATCCGCTGGCGAATGCCAGTGAAGGAGATATTCGCAAAAGATGTTTGAAATTACTGCCTTCGGAATGTCAAAATTCATCGATCTTTGCCATCTGCAGGATGGTATCCAGCATTACTTAGGTGCCATCATACTAAAGCTGATTATTTTTTTTAACTGACGAAAACCTTGTAGAATTTCATCTCAACTCAGGTCCTGAAGCATCAGCTGAGGTCACGTGTAAACCCATCAAACATTCCATCCTTCCAGAGGTCCATAAAATGAGGACCTAGATCGGGGTAGTCAACCTTGGCTCTTTTATGACTCGTGGACTTCAACTCCCAGAACTCCTGAGCCAGCTATGCTGGCTCAGGAATTCTGGGAATTGAAGTCCACGAGTCATAAAAGAGCCAAGGTTGACTACCCCTGACCTAGATTGTTGGAGGGGCAAGATACTGGCTGTGTAAACCACTTAGAGGTTTATAAAGCACTGTGAAGAGGTATATAAGTCTAAGTGCTATTGCTCTCTTATCCTATCTATCTATGTATCTATGTATCTATGTATCTATGTATCTATGTATCTATCTATCTATCTATCTATCTATCTATCTATCTATCTATCTATCTATCTATCTATCTATCTATCTATCTATCTACCTATCTACCTACCTACCTACCTACCTACCTACCTACCTACCTACATCTATCTACCTACCTACATCTACCTACCTACCTATCATATCTTTATATCTCTCTATCCATCCATCCATCCTAGCTAACAATCCCTTGATTGTAGAGGAGTAGAGGATTGTAGTTTAGTAGAGGAGCCGGGATGGCACAGTGGTCAGAATGCAGTACTGCAAGCAAGCTGTGCCCACAGCCTGGAGTTCGATCCTGACGGGGCTCAAGGTTGACTCAGCCTTCCACCCTTCTGAGGCGGGTCAAATGAGGACCCAGATTGTTGGGGGCAAGATGCAAACAACGCTTCTACATTGTAAACCACCAAGAGAGCGCTGCAAAGTGCTTATGGGGAGGGCATATTATTTTTATTATATTTAAATATTTAAATATTTAAATATTAACCTAAATGCTACTGCTAAATGCTAGCTACCGGTACGCCTCGTCAGTGGGCCCTGCAGCTGAACACGGAAGCCAGCTCCTCTTCCCCACAAAACATAAAAAAAAAACACCTCATAGTTTGGAATAAATGGCGATCTTGTCGCCCTCACATCTGTAGCAAATCCACTTGGAGCTTAATCGCCGCAGAAAGGGAGTGTCTGCATTAAACGAAACCTGACTTTGGATGAGGAAGTTTCTAATTTCACGGTCCAATTTTTAATGGCTCTTTTGCATTCTCCTGTCAATGAGGGGCCAGGTGTAAAAAAAGACCAGGCAGGAGAACAGCCCTCACAAACTCAGAGGCAGACCTCTAAAGACAAAACGGAGGTAGCCCTCGACTTACGACCATAACGGAGCCCAAAATTTGTTGCTAAATGAGACACTCGCTAAGTGAATTTTGCCCCACATGGTTGTTAAATTGAATCTGGCTTCCTCCATGGACTTTGCTGGTCAGAAGGTCACAAAAGGGGATCACATGATCCCGGGACACTGCGACTGCCGCAAATATGAGCCAGTTGCCAAGCGTCTGAATTTCAGTCATGTGACCATGGGGATGCTGCAACGGTCGTAAAGTGTGAAGCCTGGTCATCAGTCCCTTTTTTCAGTGTCGTTGTAACTTCAAACGGTCACTAAATGAACGGTTGTAAGTCGAGGACTACCTGTAAAATTGGCTTGTCCCAAAGGCAAGCTGTAAACGACAGGGGTGGTCTCTTTGATCTCTTCCTTCCTTCGATAGACAATGGACGTGTGGGTCACGCCCAAAACACAGTCTGAGCGAGCCCTTGTGGTCCACCTTTGGCTCCAGACCTGCCCCCTTGAAATTGCAAATCCTAAACTTTAAAAACTGGGCATGGAGATGATCCAGGTCATCCAGAGGTCATGGTTGTCCCAAAGGTGCTTTTTTTTTTTCACGAGGCAACTGGACTTTCTTGTTTTTCTTGAAGACATTTCACTTCTAATAATAATAATGATAATAAAGTTGGAAGGGACCTTGGAGGTCTTCTAGTCCAACCCCCTGCTCAGGCAGGAAACCCTATACCATTTCAGACAAATGGCTGTCCAGTCTCTTCTTAAAGACTTCCAGTGTTGGAGCATTCACCGCTTCTGGAGGCAGGTTGTTCCACTGGTTAATTGTTCTAACTGTCAGGAAGTTTCTCCTTAGTTCCAGGTTGCTTCTCTCCTTGATTAGTTTCCATCTGTTGCTTCTTGTCCTGCCTTCAGGCGCTTTGGAGAATAGCTTGACTCCCTCTTCTTTGGGGCAGCCCCTGAGATACTGGGAGACTGCTATCATGTCCCCCCTCGTCCTTCTCTTCATTAAACTACACATGCCCAATTCCAGCAACTGTTCCTTATTATGTTTTAGCCTCCAGACCTCTAATCTCATCCAAGAAGCTTCTTCAACTCTGACTGGATGGTGGGAGAATGGAAGGATTCTTGCAGTCAGCTGGTCATTTGCATCCTTTTAGAGTCGCTGAGGCCACCCTGGAGCCTTACCTGTGTCCTCAGGGTCACCTGAGTAATGCAAATGGGTATGGAGCCTTCTTGGAACTGCTGAAAGGACGGTGTTGTAGCCTGGAGATAGACGATGTTGTATCCCTCCCCCTCTGTTGAGAGAGTGCTGTTCAGTTTTGTCATAGATGGCCACATTTTGGACAGAGATGACCGCTCATTTGAAAGGGGGGGGGTCAAAGAGGCCATCTGTGTCAAAATTGAACAGCCCTCTCTGAACAGAGGGGAAGGGATACAACATCGTCCGTCTCCAGGCTATAACAGAGTCCTTTCAGCAGTTCCAAGAAGGCCCCACAGCCATTTGCACCACTCAGGTGACCCTGAGAACACAGGTAAACCTCCAAATGGCCTCAACGACTCTCTAAAAGAAGGCAAATGACCAGCTGTCTGCAAGGAGTATAAATCCTTCCTTTCCCCACCATCCAGTCAGAGCTGAAGAAGCTTCTTGGAGGAGAAGCGAAACGTCTTCAAGAAAAACAAAAAAGTCCAGTTGCCTCGTGAAGAAGAAAAAAAAGCACCTTTGGGATAAAAACTGGGCAGTTTTTGAGCAAGAGACAGGAATTTTTAACAATTCACACCAGAGTTCAACCCAAGCATACCTGTCCGTCTCGGTCTGGCACCATCCTTGAACTTTCTCTCCTAGAAGGGGAAAAAGGAAGTTATCCACCATGCATGTATTTATCAGAAATTTAAAATAATTATGAAGTTGAGACGATTCCCACCGCCACGCAGAAAAAGTATCAGTAGATATCTTTATCAACGTGCAGATGCCTTTATTTTCTACCTTGTCTATGAATGTTAACACCAACTGGAGTCAATCCTAGTGATTGTCACCTCCCCAGTAAATAGTGCCTGTCCAATTTTAGTCTGCAAGTATGGAAATCTGTGTACAATATTGCCAAAAACAATATCCCCAAAAAGGGGCAATGCCGAGACCAAAAAAAAAAAAAAGGAATTGATTAAATTACTGACTGAGAATATATTACTGGGCAAGTGTGATAGACACACAAGGAATTTTGTCTCCGGTGCATAAGCTCTCTGAGTACATGCCAAACAACAAAGTAATAGTAATCATAATATCAAATAATAATCGTAACCATGATATCAATAAGAGAAGATAATGGAACAAATAGAAAGGATAAAAGTAATATAGCCATTACGTTCAATTCCTTACAAAATAAGGTATCCCAATTATAAAATTAATTGTCCCGCCATCATCTATACCAGGGTTCTTCAAACTTGGCCCTTTTATGACTTGTGGACTTCAACTCCCAGAATTCCTCAGCCAGGCACAGGTGCCTGGCTGAGGAATTCTGGGAGCTGAAGTCCACAAGTCATAAAAGGGCCAAGTTTGAAGAACCCTGGATTAATCTATGGTGGATAACCTTGTTTAGTTTTACTTCAAGCGTGCTGGCTGAGGAATTCTGGGAGTTGAAGTCCACCAGTCACAAAAGGGCCAAATTTGAAGACCCCTAAATTAATCTATGGTGGATGACCTTATTTAGTTTTACTTCAAGCATGCTGGCTGAGGAATTCTGGGAGTTGAAGTCCACAAGTCATAAAAGGGCAAAGTTTGAAGACCCCTGGATTAATCTATGGTGAATAACCTTGTTTAGTTTTACTTCAAGCATGCTGGCTGAGGAATTCTGGGAGTTGAAGTCCACTAGTCATAAAAGGGCCAAGTTTGAAGACCCCTGACCTATACCAAGCATTTTCTCTCACAGACAGAGAATTTCAAGTGCACACAAAACATGGTATTATCCTCAAATGGCTCTGAAAACCCTCCCAGGGATGCTCCAATTCCTTGCTCTTTTATCTTTTGTGGGACCCCAGAAAAAGGAGGCAAATTCTTCCACACCTAAGCGATACTTGGCTATCGCGCGACGATTCCCTTCCTGAAAATCGTCTGGCTGTCATTAGATTGGAATTGCTGGTCATAGTTATTCTAAGGTTTTGTTCAGGTTTGTTTTAAAATCAGAAATTGTTTTGATGATCTTGTTAGAGAAGGGTGGATAGGTAATTTCTGAATTTTGGGCTTGGGTTTTTGGATTTTTTTTAAGACTCCAGAAAGGCTGTGAAACTTAAAAGTTAGATAGTAGTTATGCCATGTTTAATAGAGTAAGAGATTACAGGCAGTCCTCGATTTACGACCGCAACTGAGCCCAAAATTTCTGTTGCTCGGCAAGGCAAATTGTTAAGTGTGTTTTATCCCATTTTGCAACCTTTTTTTGCTCCAGTTAAGTGAACCACTGAAGTTGTTAAATGAATCGCGGGGCTGTTAAGCATATCTAGCCACTGACTTTGTTGGAAGCCAGCTGGGAAGGTTATAAATGGTGATCACCTGGACCCAGGGACAATGCAACCGTCATAAGTACGAGTCAGTTGGCAAGCGTCTGAATTTCGATCACATGACCACGGGGACGCTCCCAACAGTTGTTAAGTATGAAAAAACAGTTGTGACTTTTGTCAGCGCTGTTGTGACCCCAAACAGTCACTAAACAAACAGTGGTTAAGTCAAGGACTACCTATATCTGATTACGTATCTGCGCTGAAGGAAGTTAGAAGTCTTTTCCCTGTGTTTTTTTTTCCTTTTATTCCCCCACATTTTAACTCCTTTTCGAATTTTTTTTAACCTCTGCTCCTTTTTAACTGGCAGTTATTTTGTTATGTTGTTTTTTTTCTTGAAACAGAGTCGAGTTTATTAAGAAAAGAAAAGGGGCCCGGCTGTCACTGAGCCGTCAAAAGGCCGATGGGACGCTCTCCGTTCCAGGTATCCAAAGGAAGATGAATAGTGGCATATTAAACATTTTTTCACAGTTTCAGCAATAAATAACCGAATGAAAAGTCGAGTTCTAGCCATAACTGGCGGGGCGAAAACCCTCGCAGGCGGTAGCCCATGTGCTGCCCTCTGGCCTGCAAGAACACTGTAAAGGCACTGAACTTGAATAAACGACCACAGATTAGCAATAAAACCAAATGGTACCGTTCAGGTTAATGCCAAATGCTGACATGGAAGAAGCCGACGTGAAATGACTTTCACGAGAAACAGGAGGAGGGTTGAAGAGTTGAGGGTTTAATAAATGGACGGTCACCTTGGCGCTCTTGAATGCCTCAGACATTTTTAATTCTCTACAGGACTTTGGAGGCCCTGGGTGAAACTGGCTTCAGAGTTGCACCTTCAGGCTAGCCAATCTCTCCCTCGTTTGGTTTGTGTGTTGAGAGTCCTGAGCTAGAAGGAAGGGCTCCTTACCTGTCCCCGAAGTGGTCTTGGTAGCGGCCACGATCTCTGTGATCGAAGCCGTGGAAGCGATCCTGCCGGCTGAAGTCCGAATGGTATCGGTCGTCCATGGCCATCCGCTTTGGCTCTGGCCAGTAGCCATCGTCACGGCTGCAAAGAGTCCCAGATTCAACATGTTATCAGCACTCCGGTTCCAGACAGACTTGGGTTGCCGTTTCGGCAATTTATTTATAATACGTATTTACTTTTTAGATGTTTAGCCTGTCTTTATTAAGTAACTCAAGACAGCAAACACACATAATAAATACTCCCTTCCTTTTTCTCCACAACACTCCTGTGAGGTGAGTTGGGCTGAGAGACAGGGACTGAATCAAAGTCATTCAATCAGCTTTCATACAGAATAAGAGAGTTGGAAGGGACCTTGGAGGTCTTCTAGTCCAGGGATAGGCAACCTTGGCTCTTTTATGACTTGTGGACTTCAACTCCCAGAATTTCTGAGCCAGCCATGCTGAGGGGACAGGGAGAGGTTTCCAAGCTGAGCCATGCTGGCTCAGGAATTCTGGGAGTTGAAGTCCAATAGTCATAAAAGAGCCAGAGTTACCTACTGCTGTTCTAGTCCAAACCTCTGCTCAAGCCATGCCAGACAAACAGTTATTCAGTCTCTTCTTAAAAACCTCCAGTGATGGAGCACCCAAGAATTCTTCTGGAGCACCCAAGAATTGTTCTCACTGCCAGGAAGTTTCTCCTTAGTTCTAGGTCGCTTCTCTCCTTGGTTAGTTTCCATTCCCTGCTTCTTGTCCTGCCCTCAGGCGCTTTGGAAAATAGGTTGACCCCCCCCCCTTCTTTGTGGCAGCCCCTTATCATATCAACCCTAGTCTTTTTGTTGACTAGACTAGAAATACCCAATTCCTGCAAATATTCTTCCTAAGTTTTAGCCTTCACTCCCCTAGTCATCTTTGTTGCTCTTCTCTGCACTCTTTCCAGAGTCTCAACATCTTTATTTATAATATGGTGACCAAAACTGGATGCAGGATTCCAAGTGTGGCCTTACCAAGGCATTGTAAAGCGGTATTAACACTTCACGTGATCTTGATTCTGTCCCTCTGTTAATGCAGCCCAGGACTGCATTGGCTTTTTGGGTTAATAATGTTAGGGCCAACAGATGCAGGATCTGACCAGGAAGAGCAGGGAACAAAAGGCCCACAAGGTAGAACGCTTACAAAACACGCAAATGGAAAGAACAGCCAGGTGCCAGGTTGGCGCTCCTGCCTTACAAGCTGACTCTCTCTCTCACCGTCCGTCGTTGTAGGGCCTCCGCAAGGCCGAACGACGGTCCTGCTCGTAGCGCAGCTGCTCCTGCTGCCGCCGTAACTCCTCCCGCTCCCGGTAGATGCGCTCCTGCTCCCTCCGCCGCTCCTGCTCGATGCGCATCCGCTCCCGCTCCAGCCGCTCCCGCTCCATCCGCTCCCGCTCCAGCCGTTGCTTCTGGAAGTGCAGCCGTTCCCGCTCCTTTTGCAGCCGCTGCCTTTCGTCCGACTCCTGGGTCTCCTGCGAGTGCTGGTCCCGCTCCCTCCGCTCCCGTTCCCTGGGTTCACACATGGAAAGCGAGAGGGGGTTTGCACGGGGAAGATGGCAAGGCTGAATCTTAGCAAGAGACTAGAAGAGGCATGTCAAACTCAAGGCCCACGGGCCACATCTGGCCCGTGGGGCTGCCCCAGAGATGGCGAGGGACCGGCCATGCGCAAACGGCTGTGCACCCCCATGGTGGGTAGCGCCCATTCGTGCATGGGCCACGCACACACTCCCGCGCTAGTGGCCTGTTCACGCATGCACAAACGGGGGAACACATGCCCCCCCGCACTATCGGCCCGTTCACGCATGCAAAAACAGGGCACGCATGCTCCCCCCACGCTAGCGTTTCCGTTCGCGCCCGCACGCATGTGCAAACAGGGCCGTGGGCGCTAGCGCAAGTGGGGGGAATGCACGCCCACTTGTGTGCGCCCTGGCCAGTCATTTCTGCGGCCCGCGGGCCAAGAGCCCATAGGTTGGGGACCCCTGCCTAAAGTGATGTGAGCTGAATCCAAGGTTATTTTCAAGAAACTAAATTCTGGCCATGGCTAGAATCTGAGATACTGGCAAACCCTTTTAGAGGACGACAACAGAGGCCACCTGTATCATGAGAAGTTGCTCTGTATCTAAAACCAGGCAAGGCAGATACGAAACATTGCTTTTTCTCCCCCCCCCCCCAATTAAAAGTATGAAAGTCATTTGTTTATAGCTCCTGCATCTGATCATGGAGAAATTCTGAGTCTTGCTGAAAAGCAATTAGCTAAATATAATGTTAAGAAGCATTTATGTTGTGGCCGTTTAGATTTAATTTTGTTTTAATGGCGTAGCTGGTATTACTTTTTCCATTGTAATCCGGTACTTTATTAAAAAGGAAAAAAAAAGTTTTCCTTTTAGTAGGAAAGGCGGAGAGAGAGAAATGTGAATTTAAATTGGAGCTAGCTTCAGTAACTTTTAAAGCATTAATTTTAATTAGCTTTGCTCGTAGAAGAAATTATGTCGACTGACAATGGCCTTACATTTTACTGCCCTATCCTGCTGGATTATAAAATAATTTTTATTTTGTACTCTTAGGGCAAACACTTCAGACACACCATTTAAAAGAATTGCAGTCATCTTGGGGAAAAATAGATCTGCTTTTAAGTCTTTTCTTGCCACAGTCTCAACTCAGTGGTCATTCTCTGTGCGCTCAGCGAAACATATCAGGATAGAGGACATTTTAATACTTAAATGTTAACACAGTTAGTCTTCGACTTTAAGTGTTTAGTGACCGTTCAAAGTTACAATGGCATTGGGAAAAAAGGTGACTTATGACCGTTTTTCACACTTGTGACCGTTGCAGCATCCCTATGGTCACATGATCCAAATTCAGACACTTGGCAACTGGCTCATATTTATGAAAGTTGCAGCATTCCAGGGTCAAAGCAGGAGATTGTGAATTCCAAGTCCTGATTTAGTCATGATAGCTATCTGGGTGACTTTGGGCCAATCACCAGGAGACCGTGAGTTCTAGTCCCTCCTTAGATATGAAAGCTGGCTGGGTGACTTTGGGCCAATCACCAGGAGACGGAGAGTTCTAGTCCCGCCTTAGATATGAAAGCTGGCTGGATGACTTTGGGCCAATCACCAGGAGACGGAGAGTTCTAGTCCCACCTTAGGTATGAAAGCTGGCTGGGTGACTTTGGGCCAATCACTAGGAGACAGAGAGTTCTAGTCCCTCCTTAGACATGAAAGCTGGCTGGGTGACTTTAGGCCAATCACCAGGAGACGGAGAGTTCTAGTCCCACCTTAGGTATGAAAGCTGGCAGGGTGACTTTGGGTCAATCACCAGGAGACGGAGAGTTCTAGTCCCGCCTTAGGCACGAAAGCTGGCTGGGTGACTTTGGGCCAATCACCAGGAGACTGTGAGTTGTAGTCCCGCCTTAGGCATGAAAGCTGGCTGGGTGACTTTGGGCCAATCACCAGGAGACTGTGAGTTGTAGTCCCACCTTAGGCATGAAAGCTGGCTGGGTTGGCCAATCACCAGGAGACAGTGAGTTCTAGTCCCGCCTTAGGCATGAAAGCTGGCTGGGTTGGCCAATCACCAGGAGACGGAGAGTTCTAGTTCCACTTTGGGCATGAAAGCCAGCTAGGTTGGCCAACCATCAGGAGACGGCGAGTTCTAGTCCTGCCTTGGGCATGCAAGCTGGCTGTGTGACTTTGAGCCAGTCTCTCTCAGCCCAACCCACCTCACAGGGTTATTGTTATGGGGAAAACAGGAGGAGGAAGGTGTATAGGATAAGTTCGTCACCTTGAGATATTTGTCAATATAATAAAGGTGTGATATATATAAATAAAATTTTAAATGAATTTTTTTTAAAAAAAAAAATCCAGCACGCTGAACCCACCTGCCTGACTGGGGGAAAACGAAAGAAGAGAATGTGGAAGTGAAGTCAAATGAATGGAGTGTGTCAAATTTAGAAGGGAATATGCAGGTAATGGAGAGGGAGAGGGAAGGAGAGGAAAAGGCTTCTTCCAATATTAATAACTACTTGTCACACGGACAAAAAGAAAGACCCCTGACAACATTTAATCAAGAGGAAGAGCTCTGCCAGCCTGCTGACGTACGATCCGTTCAGTGGAAAAACGCACCGCGTTCCTACATAATAAAGAGCTCTTTAAAATATCTGCTTGCAATAAGGGGGCGGCAGTGGAGAAACACGGAAGATTTCACTCAGCAACTGAATCAAACCTCCATGACGCCCAAACAGAGAGTGGATCCCGGGAGGAAAGCGACAGCTGCATAATAGATCATGTCAACAGACCGCAGATTCATGCCAGGATAATCCTCTCTGGTTGTTGCGCGGAGACAGGAGGGTTTCAAAAGAAGGGGGGGGGGGAAAGAGCTCAGCTCAGCTGGGGCAATGTTGGACTGGAGCCTGCTGAGCTGCGACAAGGACGCACGAAAAACAAGAACTGTTTTTTTAAAAAAAGGTCCAGTGCTACACAACTGACACTAGGCGGCTCTTTCGTCCACTTTGGAAGCGAGCCAGGAATGGCGACCTCAGCATCCTGTTTATCAAGGACTTTGAGAGAAGTTCAAAGTGATTAAAAGAAAGGATCGCCGACAGCCCAGCTGACAGCTCACCCACCAGGTTGATGACTGTTTTCAAACAGGTTGTTTATCCACAGGGGTGTCCAACCTTGGCAACTTTAAGAGTTGTGGACTTCAACTCCCAGAATCCCCCTGCTGGCTGGGAAATTCTGGGAGCTGAAGTCCACGAGAAGCAACGGATGGAAACTAACCAAGGAGAGAAACAACCTGGAACTAAGGAGAAACTTCTTGACAGTGAGGACAATTAACCAGTGGAACAACCTGCCTCCAGGAGCGGGGAATGCTCCAACACTGGAAGTTTTTAAGAAGAGACTGGACAGCCATTTGTCTGAAATGGTATAGGTTCTCCTGCTTGAGCAGGGGGTTGGACTAACTGACCTCCAAGGTCCCTTCCAACTTTATTATTATTATTATTATTATTATTATTATTATTATTATTATTATTATTATTATTATTATTATTATTATTATTATTATTATTATTATTATTATTAAGCAGAGGTGTCCACAGGATGCAACGCTCTCATTAAAAGAACAACATCAATGCAAGCTCCGCCCATTTGGTACACTGGGTGCAGCATCCCAATGGATGCAGGTGGTCCTCGACTTACGACCACAATTGAGCCCAAAATTTCTGTTGCTACGCTGGACAGTTGTTGAGTTTTGCCCCATTTTACCAATTTTCTTGGCACGGTTCTTAAGCCAATTGGGCTTCCCCGCTGACTCCGCTTGTCAGGTGCAAAAGTGACTCAGGGATGCCACGACCTCCATAAATACGAGCCAGTGGCCAACCGTCTGAATTTTGATCACGGGACCGCGAGCATGCTGCAACGGTCGTAAGCATGAGGTCCAAAATCACTTTTTTTTCAGTGCTACTGTAACTTGGATCGGACACCAAACGGATGGTTACTAAAGCAGAGGAACCCCTTGCCCCAGCGACAGTTTGGGGGTTAGAAACGTGGCGAGGAGCCAACGCCAACCCACCTCCTCCGTTCCGTCTCTCGGATCTCCCGTTCGCGTTGCCTCTGGCGCTCCCGCTCGCGCTGCTCCTTGATTTTATCGAACGACAGAATGTCTTGCTTCTCTTTGCTCTCCGACTTGCGGTCGTGGCTTTTGGTGCTCTGAAGCGAAGCAGAAAAGGGGGAAAGGGTGGGGATGTAGCGCCTGCGTTTTTACTCCGGGCGCCTTCAGCTTCCGAGCAGCTGGGCGCCCATGTTCTGCAGCCAAGAGAACCAAGGGGTGGACTTCAGAAATCGTGGGCGCTCCCTCACTGGAGGTTTTTAAGAAGAGACTGGACAGTCACTTGTCTGAGATGGTATAGGTCAGTGATGGCGAAACTTTTAGAGCCCGAGTGCCCAAACTGCAACCCAAAACCCACTTATTTATCGCCGGGTGCCAGGTGGGCGTGGCCCACTGGGTGGGCGTGGCTGTGGTCATGGCAGACTGGGTGGGTGTGGCCAAGCTGGGCATGGTCACCTCAATGATGCTCGTGGGGAGGGATGCCTGTGGGGGCCGGGCAGGGTCGGGGGAGAAACGGGGTCTCTGGCAGGTGGGGCGGTGGGCAGGAGGCTCGTCCTACGGGGTGAGGCAAGGCAAGGCAGGGCAGGGGTGCCATTGTCGCAGGGCAAGGCGAGGCAGGGGCCGGGGCAGCTGCTGCCTGACACCATTGGCCCCTGCACACAGAAGCCAGCAAGCGCATGGGAGCCGACAGTATCCATCAGCAGCCACAGCCTGCCGGCCCCTCGACCGGCGCACTCTGGGGCTCCGCAGCCCGCCCCCAGCAGTTCAGAGAAGCCACCTCTTAGCTGGACGGATGGCCGACAGCTGAGGAGCGATGCAGTGGGTCGTGTCCGGGAAAAGGAGAGCATGCAAGGCCAGGAGGGATGGGATGGGGGGGAAGGAGGGAAACCAGCCATGCTGGGATGCATCCGGCCACGTGGGAGCTCAGTGAGTTAGCGGGCGGCTGGTTGAAGAGGGACGGTTGCCATCTCCGGGGCATGGTACGTGTGCCCACAGAGAGGGCTGTGAGTGCCGCCTCTGGCACATGTGCCATAGTTTCGCCACCACTGGTATAGGTCCTCCTGTTTGAGCAGGGGGCTGGACTAGTAGACCTCCAAGGTCCCTTCCAGCCCTATTCTATTCTATTCTGGCCTGCCCCACATGCTCCAGCAGAATCCTATCCAGCTCTGGATCCCGTCGGCCAAGGGATTGTGCCTGGTGGGGTCCAAGAAAAGGACTTTGTCTGCTATGGCTCCCATCCTTTGAAATATCGTGCCTCTTGAGTTGAAATTCTCCCCTCCCCCTTTCTGAAAATGCCTAAAAGCCTGCCTTGGCCAACTGGACTGGAATCCCAATAGGGGCATCCCATTTTGGAGGTGGTTAGTAGACTATCGTGTTTCCCCTGAAAATAATGCCGGATTTTATATTAACTTTTGCTCCAAAAGACGCATTAGGGCACCAACCTTGACAATTTTAAGGCATGTGGACTTCAACTCCCAGAATTCCACAGCCAACAATGTTGGCTGTGGAATTCTGGGAGTTGAAGTCCACATGCCTTAAAATTGTCAAGGTTGAGGAACACTGCATTAGGGCTTATTTTCCNTCATCTAGGTCAGGGGTAGGCAACCTTGGCTCTCTTATGACTCGTGGACGTCAACTCCCAGGATTCCTGAGCCAGCATGGCTCAGCTTGGAAATCTCTCCCTTTCCCCTCAGCGTGGCTGGCTCAGGAATTCTGGGAGTTGAAGTCCACGAGTCATAAAAGAGCCAAGGTTGCCTACCCCTGGCTTTAGTTCTCCGGAAGTGTCCATCAGGCAGGTGGAGATTTCAAATGCAAAAGGACATGCTCGCACGAAGGGATCAGCTCACCCTCAGCCCTGAAACCATAATGCTTCGATAAAAGTTTTAATTACCTGATTTAACGGAGCGCGAACGTCCAGGTGACCCGTTTTTCTGCTCTTCTGTTCCTTTTTCCTGCTTTTCCTCTCCGCTCTCCTCCACTTTTTGAGAGTTGTTTTTGTCGTTTTTTTCTTCTTTAAGGTTGAGAGACCTACCAACGGGATCAAAACAGCAACTGAGGCTCTATCCGACGTACCTCATAAGTCAAAATTCATCACTTTGATCTCTGGAGTGAAAGAGCACCACCAGGTGATGCCTTGCCGAAGTACAATAAAGGCGGTGTTCAGATATAAATCTTTTTAAAAAAACCAGCTGGTAGGGTATAAACCACGGGTAGGCAACCTTGGCTCTTTTAGGACTCGTGGACTTCAACTCCCAGAATTCCTGAGCCAGCCATGCTGAGGGGAAAGGGAGAGGTTTCCAAGCTGAGCCAGGCTGGCTCAGGAATTCTGGGAGTTGAAGTCCATGAGTCATAAAAGGGCCAAGTTTGAAGACCCCTGACCTATACCATCTCAGACAAGGTTCCCCACCCCTGCTATAGACCAACTCTACATCTGGTGGAACTACTGGTTTGTACCTTTAGAGCAGGGGTCTTCAGACTTGGCCCTTTTATGACTGGTGGACTTCAACTCCCAGAATTCCTGAGCCAGCATGGCTCAGCATGGAAACCTCTCCCTGTCCCCTCAGCATGGCTGGCTCAGGAATTCTGGGAGTTGAAGTCCACGAGTCGTAAAAGAGCCAAGGTTGCCTACCCCTGGTATAAACCTAGCCTCCTTTGTATTTTCCTGAAATTCTTAGCCACAAGAAGATCACAAGCAACCATACAGGCAAGTCCTCGACTTTACAATCACAATTGAACCAAAAAGTTCAGTTGCTAAGCAAGACAGCCGTGAAGTGAAATTTTGCCACATTTTATGACCTCTCTTGCCACAGTTGTTAAGTGGATCACTGCAGATGCCAAGTTAGCAACACAGTTGTGAAGTAAATCTGCCTTCCCCATTGGTTTTGCTTGTCAGAAGGTCGCAAAAGGTGATCCCTGGGACACGGAGGGAGACACAGTGCCACCGTCATAAATATGAGTCAGTTGCCAAGCGTCTCTAAAGTTTGATCACATGATCTCGGGGAATGCCACAAGAAGTGTGGGAAAACGGTCGTTAAGTCACTTTTTTCAGCGCATTTGCAACTTCGAGCTGTCACTAAACCAGTGGTTCTCAACCTTTTTAATGCCGCGACCCCAACCGGTCGTAAGTCGAGGACTAAACCGGTCGTAAGTCAAGGACTAAACCGGTCATACGTCGAGGACTAAACCGGTCGTAAGTCGAGGACTACCCAACCAGTCGTAAGTCAAGGACTTTCCCTGCCCGGGAGCGCCGCGCATGCATGGTTCCGCCCCCTGCGCCGGTCGAGGCGTAGCTGGCAAGCGGCAGAGACGGAGCAGGCCGACCACCAGCTGGTCCAGCCCAAGGGAGGTAAGGCACCCGCTGGAAAAGGGGAAAAAATGGACAAAAAGAATGGCGGACAAAAAAAATGGCGGACAGCCTTGCTTGGCGACCCCCATGAAATGGTCGATCGACCCCAAATGGGGTCCCGACCCACAGGTTGAGAACCACTGCACTAAACGAACCGTTGTTAAGTCGAGGACTACCTGAGTCCATCTTTGAGAAAACAGTTTGGGGTAGTGGAGAAAGTGCTGGAACAGAAACCAGGAGACCCTGAGTTCTAATCCTCCCTTGGAGAGAAAAGCCAGTTAGGCCAGCTCCTTTCATTCTCTCTCAAACCAACCTCACAGGGTTCTTGTTGTGGGGAAAATAGGAGATGGGAGCGTCATGAGTGTCCGCTGCTTGGAGTTGATGAAAAATAAAGGCAGGATATAAATCGAATAATAAACCTCAGCTCTAGAAAAGTGGTTAAGTTTAAGAAAGAGGCTTAAATTAGGGCAGTGATGGCGAACCTTTTAGAGACCGAGTGCCCAAACTGCAACCCAAAACCCACTTATTTATCGCCGGGGGCCGGGTGGGCGTGGCCCACTGGGTGGGCGTGGCTGTGCTGGTCATGGCAGATTGGGTGGGTGTGGTCACCTCAATGTTGCTCGTGGGGAGGGACGCCTGTGGGGGGTGGGCAGGATTGGGGGAGATCCAGGGGGTCTCTGGCAGGTGGGGCGGTGGGCAGGAGGCACGTCCTGCGGGGTGAGGCGAGGCAGGGCGGAGGTGCCATTGCCACGGGGCAAGGCAAGGCCTTGTATGGGGTTTTGTATGGGGTATTTTTAGAGCAGGCCTGTTATTTAATTTGATTTTAGAACAGAAATTTGTGTATATTTATCGTGGTTTTTATTATCGCCTGTTCACCGCCCTGAGTCCCGTAAGGGAGATAGGGCGGTATATAAATTCAATAAATAATAATAATAATAATAATAATAATAATAATAATAATAATAATAATAA